AGGGGTTGAGACTAAGAATGTGGGTAAAAGGGGTAAGCACCAGGGGGCCTGGTGGCTAGGTCCCACTTTTTAAGAGCCGTCGTCCAGTTGCTCCTCGTTTTGCGACCGTACATACAAATTTGGGACCAATCAGAGCCCAAGAAACTTATTGACCCCTGCTGGACCAAACCCTCACGAGAGGAAGGCTCGCCAGCCGCGGCTCGCGCAAAGAAGCCTTTCGGAACGAAATTTGGCGACAAGAGAACCGGAGAAGAGTTGGCTACAGAAGAGAGAGAGAGTTGGCGACAGTAGATAGGAGACAGGAAGAAGAGTGAGGTCGAGATACGAGACACGGCGAGAGACGTAGAGCATTATCGTGAGTGAAACCGAGACAGAGCGTCGGGGAGGCAGGCTAGGCCGCTGGAGGGAGATTTTGTTTAAAAGGCGCAAACTCAAAGGGCGTGGAGAGACGGCAGGGTTGAAGAGAGATGTGAGTGGGTAATGCATGTCTGGGCGAGTGGAAGGCTCGGAAAATTTACATGTGCTACCGGTATAAGTCGTAGGTATAAACAGAATAAGGAGTATATTGGGGAAGTTTTGACTTGATCGTCTTCATGAAAAGGAGAACAAGAAGAGAAGAGAATGTGCTATTCGAGCCTTTGGCAGTTGATTTTGAGGATGATGAGACATGTTGTCATGTTGTATTGTTTCGTTTGATGCTTTAAAGTTTAGAGAATATTCTTGGGCGGACGTCGGGCGCGCAGTGGTCGGGAAGATATCGACGCGGGAGGTCTGATAGAGCCAGAGGCGGATGTGTCTTGGTGATTGACCTGTTCGGTGTCCGTTTCTGACTCTGCGGGTCTTCCGGGGACAGAAAGGAGGAGGTATCGGATTTGGGGGAGTCTTGACCGTCACAGTCGGTGATTATGGTGGAAGTTTCGGGAGAAAGTCGCGGTCTCTTGGTTGGGGTTTGGTAGGGATCGGGCATTGACCGACTTGATGCCAGCATAAGGGGATCGACTGGGCCAGAAGCATGCGGCGTGGGAGGCGGGGCTTTGGGCGGCCTTGGGTTTCTTCGTAGAGGTAAACCTGGCCAACGCAACGCTATAGTCCGAGGGATTGCCGACCGCGCTCTTGGGTGTCGTCGGCAGTAGTTGTGTTGCAGAAGCCTGGTCGGACATGGCCTTGTCGTGGAAAGTCCACGTGTCGGGGACGACGATGAAGATATAGTCTTGGTCGAAAGCCGGGCATGTTTCATGATCTGGTGATCCAGTAAGCCGGCGATTTTGCCCGTACAGGTGAAGAGAGCGTTCGACTGGAACTGGCTGTCGCGCCTCTCGGTCATCTTCTTGCATAGGGAGGTCCAAGGATTAGCGTGAATGGGGAAGATGACGAAAACTTGGAAGGGTGAAAGCCCTTGAAGGGGTTTGCCGGGAATCCCAGGACAAATAAAGGTGGAGAGCTGGACAAAGCCGCAGCAGCTCAGCTGGGTGTCGTCAAGGGCCGCAGCCGAGTTTCCATGCAGGAGGTCGCGGCCGGAGCCGATGACAGGTCCCGTGAAGGAGACAATGGGTTGTATCGTTGGGAAAGTATCCACCGAGCTGAGGGTGCGAGTGACAATTCTATGGATATCGTCAGGGAGGGCAGTGGCGACAGAGAGATTTGGAGCATAGACTCACGGTTGGTAGCTGTGATCGCGGACTATAAGCGCGGGGACGGTGTATTCTGTGATGTTATCATCGTCCGACTCAAGCCATCACGTCGCTCGATTTCCCACGTCAGGGCAAAGGGATGAACACGGCCGACCATGAAGAACCATTGCTCGGTCCATTCCGAGGAGATTATCTGTTGGTTGTATATGGAAATATTAAGGCTGAAGAAGATGCAGGTCGATGGATTGCCAGTATCTGACCGGATTGCTGCATACTCCGGAGTCGACAGCCATGAGGGCGTGGGAAGGAAGACCTCGCTAGGGTTTCTGCGTTGAGCCCTTTGACACGATGCTCATTCTGGTAGGCGAACCTAGCCGGGCAGCCGGGCTGGACAAAGGCCATCATGGACATGTCGGCGCCAGCATTTTTCTGGCTGTCAAGAGGTTGCCGCGGGAGGACGAGGTATCGACGTTGAGCTGGGAGGCCGACATCGTGAGAACATGGCAGATGTAGTCACCGTGGAAGTGTAAATGAGGGGTTACGCAGAGTGGAGGTGGGCATCCTATAAAGCAGGTTTTCTTGCTGCTCGAAAGAGGGCTCGCGGCTAGGGTCGGGGAGACTTAAGAGTCAGAGAATGCTACCTAGGTGATAGATCAGAAGCGGGGGTATGCGGGAATGAGCTGGCGAGGTTCTTGAACAGTCTCGACCATCTGGTTCTATGGTCGTGAGTGAAGTAGGAGCCGGGGTTGGAAGTTGAGTAGGGGTGATGACTATGTCGCGAGAAGTTGGAGGTCGGCGAACAGTAAGGTTAGTGTGGGTAAGTCTGCGGAGAAAGAAAGTCCAGCAGTACCCTTCGGTGTCATCGTTGCATGGAGTAGATAGCAAAGGCGACAATAACGAATGAGAGTGAAGGAAAGAAAGAGGTTATGGTAGTATTGCAGGGGTCCCTTTTTGACGGTCGTCGGTAGTTGGATGGGCATTGCGTGCGGCTGAGCGAGGCGGGTGCCGACCGTGTCGAGTCCACTATTGGGACACGGTGAAGTCGGATATAGGGGACGACCTGAGGAGGAGGATGCGAGTTGGTCACGAGAACTCTCCAGGAGGGTTTGCAAGTCGAAACTCCGGTGGCTAGCGACTACAAGAGGACAGGCAGGGGGATCCTGGCTGTCGCTTTAGCATGAAGGCCGTTGATGCGACGTTGGTGGTGGCGAGGGAGCAAACCTAGCCGGGTAGTCCGGTTGCACGAGGACACCGTGGACATGTTATCGCCGGCAGCCTTTGGCTGTTGCTCTACGAGGTGGAGTGGCAGATATTGATGGAGCAACTGATGCGCAAGGTGGGTGGGACGGCGTTGGAAGGGCGGAGAGTATGGTTGGAAGTGTGCGGCGGGCGGTTGGCGCGGCCACCCCATGTGCCGGAGGTCGGCAGTAGCCAGGATTCGCTGGAGTGCGCAAAGAGAGCACGGCGATGGAAGGGCCGCCTTTGGCAAAGCTGGGGTAGCAGGTCGCACGTGGAGACCAGCCGAGGCCGGGACGGTGGACGCACATAGGAGGGTAAATGGGGATTACAAGGGGTAGTAGTATTGCATCGCTTCGGTACCATAGGCAAGCATTATAAGGGAAGAAACGCCACGGCCATGAGAGTAGTGATCGTTAGGAAGCTTCCCACTCGGAAAGAAATAGTGTACGCCAAGAAGCGAGATTATCAAGTGGAAGTGCTCCGGAGCCAAAACTTTCTAGCCTGTTGCCAATCCACGCTAGTCGACGTCGAGGAGGCAGTAGCATGGCGGACAGTCCTGCAGGGAAGCTAGGCGAGGCGGCCGCTCACCGTGGAGCCTGTTCGTTGTCAGTCGAGGATGGAGAAGAGGGTAGGAACGGGGGAGTGCCTGTTTCGGGGTGCGGAGATGATACAGGGCAACTCCGAGAAGGGCACGGAGCACGGGAGACAAGGTTGGGGCGGTTCGGGAGATACAGATCAGTGGCGAATGAAGCATTAACGTTCCGGCTGATTCAGCCTAAGCAGTCTGCGGTCGAAGAAACCGCATGGAGAAAGCATGCAGAGGCGATCGCAAAGTCACTGCCGAGAAGACCGCCGCGAGGCGGTTTGCGGTCAAGCAGAGCACGGAAGTCCGTAATTTGGTCAGCAGCGGAAATTCCGCGCAACGTCAGTCACCGAGTCCGCTTCCGAGGTTCGTGTTGCCTACAGAACGTGGAGACCAGGGGGCAGTGGGCTCTAACAGTCCACCCCTTCATCGGCCGTTTTGCCCCAGGAGAGGGGTCCTGAAGGTGACGGGCAGGGAGATAAGGCGGCGACCGGCGGTGTCCCGGGTGTTCGTTCGAAAAGGGACCGACGCTCCGACCTATCCAGCCCAAGGATACGACTTTCCAAGACCTAAGACGAACGGCGCAATTTGCAGCATCGATTGCATGGGGTTTGCCCAAGCTCCGTCGGGGACCGGTTCGGCGGCCAAGGGCACAGGTGGGTGTGGACGATGGCGCAGCAGAGGCAGCGGACGGCTCGCTGCGCGGACAGAGGCAGTCCCGGAGGCGGAGAAGAGAGCCCGTCTTCCTAGCCGGGATGGGCGCGCGATAAAACAGGTCCGAAGTGGAATCGGAAGGCATAGGAGACGGGAGCTGCAGGCCGAAGACCTGGCGAGTGTGCTGCGCTTTTTGGAGGAAGACTTTGCCTTGAAGGAGAGATTGTCTAACGATCAGACGTGGTGCACGCCAATACCGCTCGAGAGGAAGGTGTCGACGGTGCGAGACTTCTATCAGGCGTTCCACGATGCGAGCACGTTGCCGATACGGACCTGCATGGTGTGCTACCGCAAGTGTACGAGAGGAGAGTTGGGAGATTACATGGGATCATTGGCTGTCAAGTTGCGTACCAAAGGGCGGCCGCTCACCATTTTCATGCCGGAGTTGCTTTCCTGAGGGCGAGTCCGTGTCGGTGTGCGCCGAGTGTGGCCGATGCCTGGCGCGCAGGAGCCTGTCGCCGGCGATCCACCTTCACAGTCGCCTTGGCTGCGAGCACATGTTCCCGATGAGCTCAAGGGACTGACGCCGGTCGAAGAGAAGCTCATCTCGCTGAACTCATGTTACGGGTTTGTCACGAGATATAGCATTCCGGGCGGGCAGAGGCAGAGCGTGAAGTATCCGAGGCATGTCAGGGCCACATCACAGTGTTTCCGAACAATGTGCAGGAGCTGGCCACAAAGTGCTCCCGCACCCCTTTGCAAGCACTGGACGAGATCCACATCTCGTGGCAGGGCGCGGAGAAGCCGGCACCGAGCGACCTGTCGAGTCTCTTGTCGGTGAGGCGGCGGGTGGTCGAGAGGGCCCTTGTCTGGCTGAAGCGGAACAACCCCCACTACGCCGAGATCGAGATCGACGCGGCGGAGATGGAGAGCTGGGGAGACTCGATACACGGGGTACCGTCGTCGGTGTGCGATCGTATGGAGCGGAACGAGCCGTCTGGGTGGGAGAAAGCGCGGACGGCGCACGTTGTGCCGCCCACGGAACGCGCCGTGGACGAGGAGGGCCGGTGGAGATCGAGGAGCTCTTCGCCCTGCTCAACCAAGGACAAGAAGCCGGCGGCCAGGGTGAAGGTCACGGGCCCAACGGAGAAGGCGCGGTTCGCGATGGAAGTGACGCCTGCCCCGACCAGAACGTTCCAGCGATCAACGAGGTGACGTCTTCTGGCATGTTCGCGCTCGACGGACCGCCAGACGTCGCGGACGTGGAGAAGCTGCAGTTTGCCTGTGACGCTGTTGGTGAAGGTGCCGACGACGGCCGTGCGGGCCGAGAGCGTGGGTCGGGTCCCTAGCCGGGGTTCGGGGCGTGGCGACGGTGGTTGTGAGCCATACATCCGGGTTTCGCGGGGGTGAGTTTACCGATTCCTTTGAGGCGTCCTTCTTTGCCAGGACGTTCCCGACCCTGTTCCCATTTGGCGTTGGGGGACCAAGGCTGGTTGAAGAGACCATGGTCGACGCGGGGAAGGTCACGGCCAACTTGCGAGGCAGGGCTGTCGAGGCAGAGGCGGCCGCGGAGACCCGTATCGTCTCGAAGCTTGAACCTTCAGGCGTGGGCCGAGATCGTGCTCCGGCGCCATGGTGGTCGATTTGCACTGCACCACATCTTCGCATTTCTCGTCTTCAACATGGGGTGCGGTCGAGGAACCGCCGGGTCAGCATGTTGAGTGTGGGAGGAAGAACTTCCGCAAGGTAGAGCGCATCGTGCGTTCGATGACCACAGAAAGGCTAGCGGCGGCGAGGGTCGAGTTGGAGAGCTCGGGTAAGACGACCGATGGTGACGTGAAGGAGCTTCTCAGGAGCCTCTCGCTTTACGGCCACCGGCAGCCCATGTCGAGAGGTCCGTCTCAATATGCGGCGGAAAATCCAGTCGCTCATCGTCGGATATGGCGTGCCGGCCATCTGGTTCACCATCAACCCGAACGACATTACGAACCCGGTGAAGCTGCGACTGGCGGCATACCGCACACGCGATCCCGACGCGGCCGAGGAGTTCTTAGAAGGCCTTGGGGATGCGTATAAGCGGTCACGGCTGGCGATATCGGATCCCATGAGCTCGGCCGTGTTCTTCCACCGCGAGATGAAGCTGTTCTTCGATCATTACGTGAAGGTCGGTGAAGAGTCGGTATTCGGGCGCATCGGCAAGTACTATGGCGCCGTGGAGACGAACGAACGAGGGCGCTTCATGTTCACGGCTTGCTCTGGCTGCACGGGAACGCGCATCTCAGCTCGATGCTTGCCGACATCCACGGGGAGGATCAGGCGGCGTATCGCGAGCGAATCGTCCGATACATCGATAGCGTCTTCTCAGAGGTAAGAATGCCTACCTAAGATGTGCCACCGGAGCCTGAAGTACTCTTCTGATGGCCAAGTGGGGCCGGGTTGACGTGCAAGGCAGGATCTGGACCAGGAAAGTTTTTGCGCCGTGCAAGCGGAGCGATCTGTGACGGGCGGTATTGGTTCCCTGCTGGACAACGCCGCGCAGTTCTCGGCCGCGTTTATCGAGGAGGCCAACTTCTGTGCCGGCGCGACGCAGGTGCACACGCATAGCCCGACCTGTGTGAAGTATTCCTTGGGCAAAGGAGGGCGGAAAGGGGACCTCTGCCGGTTCAAGGCGCCATGGAGGTTAGTCGACAAGACCGCCCTCACGGCAGACGGGGTGCTGCAGATCCGGAGGACACACAGCATGGTCAATCGATGGAACGAGGCTATTGCTGTCGGGCTCCGGCACAACCATGATATTTCCTTCATTGCGACGCAGCGCAAGACAATGGCCCTCATCTATTATGTCACGAACTACGCGACCAAGGTGGAGGACCCGGTGTGGAAGCGTGTGGCGGCCGCGGCCGAGCTCCTGGCCGCCTCAACAGGTGATGGCACGGCCAACGGAGGGCGGGACGGTGGCGGAGACGCTGCCACCGATGACCCTGTCAAGGGAACAGGACGCGACAGTTCCTGATGAGAGTGGCGAACCGCGTGTTCACGGAGCGTCCGCTATCACAGGTCGAGGTCGTCGCTCACCTTCTCGGATATCCGGCCGAGTTCACCGACAGCAGCGCGTGGGCGTACCTGAACTGTTCTCTGCTGTACTGGGAAGTCTTTCGGCGATGGCGGCATCTCCGAGAAGCCAGTGGCGCTGCGGCTACGGATGACACCTTGGATGAGTCGGTCGTCGTCGAAGAAGAAGGCCTGAGAATCTCCCACGTCGAGGCGTACCAGCACCGGGAGAGCTGCTGAAAGGCCTATGCCTGTATGACTACATATCGATCGTCAGACTGAAACGCATCGGCAACGACGAGAGCTGGGCGGCGGGGAGATGTCTTTCGAGGATGGATGGGCGCCGGGACGACGCTGGGTTCAGGTGCTCAGGCGGCCGGGCAAGCACGCTACCGTCTGCCTCGACGGCTACCTGAGCAAGGACTTCACCTACGATGACGAGTCGTGCTACCGGAGGTGTGTATGGCAACTGCTCTGTCAGCGGGCATTATCGGAGAGGCTAACCCACCCCTGAAGGGCAGCCGTGCAGCATCTTGCGCTGTTCGTGCCGTGGAGTCCTTCCTGGGCGAAGGAACAGGTGAGATCAACAGCATCTGGGCGCGGGCTCGAGACGCTATGGCCCGAGAATATCATGTCTCGTCGACAACGTGCAGCTGCTTCGACGATCCGCCGAAGACGCAAAACGCGACGCCAAGCAATGGGCAGCCTCGTCCGGCGATGGTGACCCGACGGTCGCACACGTCGAGGAGGGTGGAGCAGGCGAGGCGGGCGCGGAGTCTGCAGCGACATATCAGCCCAACAGCATCGGAGACGCAACGCGGCTCATCGACGTCGTCCGAGGTGCAGTGGGAGCGAATCAGGTGACGGCCAAGTCGCCGGAGCTCATGGCAATGATACAGCAGCTCTGTCGGTTTCAGCAATCGGCGCTGCGCTCGACGGCCGAGCTCGAGGCCACGGCGCTGATCGAACGAGGAGAGGCGGTTAAGCATGCCAGGGCGGGTATTTTCCGGGGCCGCACTACCGCCGCAGGATCAGGTCAAGGCTATCAAGTCGCAGCAGGTAAGTGCCTCGAAGGAGAGGAGAGGATGATCCAGGGATACAAAGCACGCCCGCCGCCTGGGAAAGCGATCGCCGCGCAGCGTTGCGAAGGGTGATGACCGGTTTCGGGAGGACGAGATCGAAATGACGATGGCCGACTCCGACGAGACCGCTATCGACGCAGGGGCGGGAATGGACGTTCAGTTTGGCCCATCAACCTCCTTCCTCGCGGCGGGCAAGGTGTTGGCAACACGGCTGACGCTGAACAAGAGGCAGTCCATCGCTTTTCTGATAATATGCCGCCAGCTCGATTTGATGCAGCAGACCGACGGGGCGATGCCTGCCAGCTGCGCCAGTTCGTCGGTGGCGAGGGCGGTACCGGCAAGTCGCGAATCATCGAGGCACTCGTCGAGCTGTTCAGTAAAAGAGCCTTTCGAATCGTCTGCTGATCACGGCGACGTCGGGGACTGCGGCGGCGCGGATCAACGGCATCACGATCCACTCCGCCTGCGGGTTCACTAAAGACCAAGGGGCGGGGCGCGAACATGGTCAAAGACCTTGACGGGTGCGGCTGCCGAAACAGGCGGAGCGGTTCATCCACGGCCAGTCTCGAATGGATTGGCAGGAGAAGGATGTGCTCGTCATCGACGAGGTGAGCATGCTCGGGGCGCGGACGCTGCACGCCGTGAACGAGCGGCTTCGCCGGCTTCGCGGATCGCGGCAAGATTTCGGGGGGATCCCCATCGTCCTCTTCTGCGGAGATTTTCAGCAGTTCCGGCCGGTCCAAGAGAGGTCGATCGTCCTGCCTAGCGCGGCCATCTCGTGGGACGTAGACAACTCGTTCAAGGCCGAGCAGCGTCACCAGCACGACAAAGCGCACGCACTGTGGAAGAGGTTCACGACGGTCGTCATGCTGGACGAGCAGATGCGCGCCGCCGGCGACCCGGAGCTGCAGAGGCTGCTGAAGCGGATCCGTCTAGGCGTGCAGGATCGGACGGATCTAAACCTCCTCAACTCAAGGTGCTACCGGGAGGAAGGCGGATCCCTTGGGAGACGGGCATCACCGTGGTGACGCCGCTCAATAGGAATCGGTGGAACCTGAACATGGAGGCGAGCCTGGCGTTCCGGGTCCAGCAGCGGTCGACGATGCGCATTTTCATCTCCGAGCACAAGTGGAAGGAGGAGCTGCCGACGGAGGAAGAGGCGATCATGATACTCAACCAGGGCGACGATAGCGCGATCCCGGTGCCGGCCGTCTTCATGTTCGTGGCCGGGATGCCCATCGTCGTGAACCACAACACCCACCAGGGGCTGAAGCTAGTGAACGGCGCGAGCTACTCGGCGGTGGAGGTCATTGTCGACAAGGCGTACCCGGGGCATCGGATCTCGGCCGATATGACGATCCACTTCGGGCCGCCGGCGGGGATCATTCTCGAATCGGAGACGATGAGATATCTCCACTTCGTCGGGATGCCGCCGGGCACGATCTTGTTGACACCCATGACCGTTAAGATACAGTGCCAGCGAAAAAGGCCGTGGCAACGCAACGACGTCAGCCGAAAGGGTTTGCCGTGCGCAGCAGCGTTCGCGTGCACGGACTACAAGGTGCAGGGCAAAACGCTGGAGCGCGTGGCCCTCGAGCTGCGAGGACACGGACGACGAAGATGGATGGAACGGTGGTGCCCTCGCAGTGCGACCCGTACGGCCTGTACGTGCAGCTATCGCGCTGCCGAACTCTAGACGGCATCATGCTCGTGTCCAAGGTGCGGGACAGAGACTTGGTGGGCAACCGGGTCCCCGAGGAGATGACTGCCGCACAGGCCAGGCTCGAGGTACTGAGCGAGAGGACCGTTGAGGAGGCGTTGCGCTGGCTGGACGGTGATGCTGAAGAGTCAAGGCGGCCGCGCTAGGTGACGCGATGAAGAGTTCGGCAGGCGGGAAGAGTCGGCAGGCGGCAGACAGGGTGGGAGGCGCCTAGTGGTGGGATAAGGCACGCGAAAAGGCAACAGAAGCCGGGGGAAGGGCAGCGACCAACAAGGAGGGAGGCAAGGAGGGACCAATCACAAGGGACCAATCAAGGGGCGGAGAACTTTTGGGGGGAGAGGGCGGGGTCTGCGGGGCACGTTAGAAGGCCTTTCGTTCCTCAAGGCAAACCCTCATATTGGGAAAACTTATTCGGATTAATGTCAAGTCAGCCTACGGCTGAATTACTATACCTGAAACCGGGATATCAACTTGGGAGAAGCTTGGAGGGATACGACAGGGGCTGTTTGGACGGGGAAAGGGCAACCGGGGGCAGAGCAATCAACACATGCACATCACAGACTATCAGGTCATCTGAGAATTTACCTACGAAAAGTCCCTTTATTCACATTTATGCCCACTTTTGATCTCTCCTTCGCGAGACAATGAAGGAGGCCGGCGTTGGGATAAAGTTACTTTCCCTTTTCTGTATTAGTTTTTGTGTGAGATTTGCTTGTCAATCAGTTCGTCAGGTCGACTACCTATTGAAACAAGCCAATTACATTATTGCATGACACCAAGCATGTCGTATCAAAGCCTAAGTAAGTGGCTGCGGCTGCCTGCCAGCGCTAGGCGGCTGCCACTGCCTAAACAGGCAAAGCTTACCATCAATTAACTGGTGGCATACAAAGAAAGCATCAAGCACAGTGGACCTATCCCGCGGCATGACAAGACATGCATTGTAACGCAGCTGCACTAGTGGGGTAATGCCCCAAAGATTCTGGAACTTGAACACTTTTACTGGTGCCACGTTGAGGCTCATGTCTTGTCCTTTCTCCATGACGTGGCTGGTTCGTGGAGTTTTGAGACAGTTGCTCTCTGGGCTGCGGTCCGTGCGTTGGGTGGTGGAGGATCGCGGGGTAAGGAGGTGGAAGGAAGAACCTTTCATTCCTCAAGGTACATGAGCATCAACTGGCACTAGTAGAGGGCTGAAGTTCCTATCTCACACCTTGTCTTTTCCATCTACCGACGTCACCTAGAATCTGACAAGTGCAGTCATGGCTACATATGCATGTCGCTTGCAAAGCTAGCTATTAACTTAGGGAGCGTCGAGTCTGGGCAGACAGTTCTATTGGTCGGGACGGCTTATGGAGCTGGCCTTTGTCACCCCTTTTTATTTTTTATTTTTTTAGTTGTATTACGCCCGGAGGGTTCCCCCTATAGAGCCACTACGCTAACCTATGTACCTTCTGTACATGGTTCCATCTCATCTAAAGCCCCACGCTTCTTTTTATCAGTTTCCAGCCTCCTTCGCTGTGACACGACAGGCCTGCTTGAAGGTCAGTTTCTCCAAGTGTTCAGCTTCCTACCTTCAGCGGCTGAAGCGCGGTCTGTCAAGTTCAAGACTGTTTGGTGTTAGTATGCGTGTCGCTTGTTTAATCTGTCGTCGGCTGCTGATCCATGTTGAGGTTGTCACCCTTTTTTTTTTGTATTGCGCCCGGAGGGTTCCCCCATAGAGCCACTACGCTAAGTGTCGCATTCAGGATGCGTATAATGAAATGCGCGGTTGATAAGCGATGTCATCGAACGTTCTAGATAACATTACAAAAGCATCCTGGGTGGCAAGTGGCAAATTCGCCACCGCAAGGCAGTCATATTCCCTCAGGACTATAAGGAGACAGAACTTCTCACATTCATTTTAGATAGACGACAATGAACAAGATTGACTCTTACCTTCCATTTTTTATCCCTGCGAGACTAAGCTACGTACCTACTGTACCTGGTTCCATCGCACCTGAAGCCCCACGCTTCTTTTCATCTGTTTCCAGCCTCGTTCGCTGTGACTTGACAGGCCTACTTGAAGGTCAGTTTCTCCAAGTGTTCAGCGTCCTACCTTCAGCGACTGAAGCGCGGTCTGCCAAGTTTAAGGCTGTTGTGTTAGTATGATTATCCCTTGATCAGTACATCATGGTCCCTCGTCGGTCCATACTGAAGCGTTTTGTTGCCAATGCGAACTGTATTGTCGCCCGCACAGCCTCCATATCAGGCTGCCACTTGTCGTCGTCTGACTCTGACCTTCCTCCTAGGAAGAAAGACAAGTCTCCCACCTTTCCGCGTGCATATCGAAGCATGATTTCCCGTTGTGCCGTCCATCTAGGAAATGTTCCACCGTTTCCGCCGACTGTCCACATGTGCACTCACTCGATTCCTCTGCCCCGATTTTGCGAAGGTAGCTATTCAGCCGTGATTTGCCAGTTCGAAGCTGTACCAGGTGGTGCGAGCTGGCGAGTTAGAAATAAAAGGTGGGACACGGCACGGATACTATTTTATGCAGCTAAACAGGTGTCTATTACTTGATGCATCTAAATAAGTATCTAATCGTGCCCGCCCCCACTTTATTGGGATTCGCTTGGGCTCACCCTGTTGCGAAGCAGGGGCTAGATCGACTCGATAGAGACCTCCTGTGCATAAAGCCTAAGGGTGAGAGAGAGGAGAAGGAGGAGCTGAAGTCTGCTGAAGGATGACGTGGCGAGCTGAAGGGTAAAGTTGCGTGATTAGGAGGGGAAGACTGACGTGTTAAGAGGGGTATGCCGGACGAAAGGAAAGGGAAGGAAGGAGAAGGAGAGAGAACATGCGAGGAGGGAGAATGGGAGTTAAAAAAAGGGGCGTTTGATCGGATCCAGGGCGAACAGACAGAGAAAAAAAAGGACACTCTTCACATACCATCTGATCACGTGAGAACTAACCTACGACGAAATCCCTTCATCCTTTTTCATGCCTTCTTTGATCTCTCCTTCGCGAGACACCCACTTTTAGACTGCAAGAGTTATCAGGAATCTTGCTTTTGAGGGAGAATGCACGGGGCCGGGGGCCGTAGCCGCACAAGGCGGCTGGGCTAAATATTCAATAGATTATAACCCCTGACCAATAACATTGTTACAGCTGCCATTACTACAATATATAACTGATTTTGTGATGCCACCTCCATAACTATCCGTAGCTGTAGCTAAAATAGTCTACAGAGTTAAGCCCGCCGTTGGTTGCAAGGGGGATGTGGTGAACCCACATTACCGCCGACCAACCAAGTGGTGGGTGACACCTTGGCACAAAGGGCGATCCCCCCTCTTTCGGTAACACCCCTCTTTCGGTAGCGCAAATGGAAAAATCCCCACCTGTTGGCAGGTCTCTCTGCATGCAAAGGGTGGGGTTAACCGGTGTGTTGTATTCGTCTATCTTCTCCTCTTCAAGGGAGGGAGGAGGCCACGATGCTAGCTATGTGGCCTCATCCGTACACGTGACAGCGCACGTGAGCTAGCTAGATGAGTACAATAGATTACTACAATTCCCACAACTAAGTTACTCTATATTTAAGGCGCACGACGGCCAACAAGTTTGAATCCTGATCCTGATTTCTAGGTTTTGTCAGTTATAAGTTAGCAATTATTCCACATTTTCTCACCAGTCCCCAGAAGTGAGCCCCACCCAATCCACCTTTGGGAGAATTACGTCTTCCCGCACGTGAAGCCTATGAAAGTCGATACTAATTGTCGCTAAGCTGTGTCGAACCGAACCAGCTTCACTCCAACAATGTCGTCTTCGGAAGAAAGACGGTCTTCCACGCTCTGGATTGCTCTAAGTATTACATCTTTTGCTTGTTACGTCGGTTTGTGTTGCAGCCTGAGATTTCGCCGCATCAGCAAGCTTCGCTCTCATCTCAATTACCTCGATCGTGCCTCTCTCGCGCGGATGACCAATGCAGATGCACAAATTATTGTCAAACATGCGATCTCTTTCGAGTTTCCCACTTTCTTCGATGTCGGCATGCATTGGGGCACTATCAAGGTATTATGGACGTCTAATCCTCGCTCGCGCATGAGAGCAGACTGAAGTGTCCCCCGTTAGATTTATGCGTTTGACAGCATCGCGACACTCATCGCGTCGTCGAGCGACTATAGATTGCCTGATCGAGCACCAAAAAGGTAGTTGGTAACAGGCCTCTTGGTTTTTCAGCCAGTATATGGAGCTAGAAGGTTTCGCAAAGCTGATACACTTCAGGTGGGAAGATACGATAACCCTTATTGAATGGTATTTTTTCTCCCAGTCTGCACGATCGTGGGAACCTTTCATTTTCTAACTCTAGGCAGCTTTATCAAGTTTCCCCCAACTTCACCGTTACTACACCAGGCTGTTGCACGGATGAACTATCTGCATAGCCCATACATGAAATCTGGAAAACTCCTCAATCGGGACCTTCTCTACACTCTCCATATAATAATGAATGAGCCAATTCGACTTATACGCCTCTTCGAGTGGAGATCACTTACGGATATGGAGATGGCTGCCATCGGCACTTTTTGGAAATATATTGGCGATATGATGGAAATTGATTTTGTGGCCGAGTTGAATAAGGATCGGTGGGACGATGGCATCAACTTCCTGGAGGACGTGACGCAGTGGGCGTCGAAGTACGAAGACGAGCATATGCGACGAACAAGGGATGGCCAGATACTTGTTGGCCATTTGCTGGACTTTTTCTACTCCTCGTATCCAGTGTTCATGCGGCCACTAATATATGGACTTGCGTTCGTCCTCATGGGCGATAGATGGCGCCAGATATTCAGGTAAGAACTGGGTGCATAACCATACAGGGGTTGATCTAACAATTTAGCAGCCTTCCAGAGCCTGGAACTGCGACAGTGGCCTTCACGTATACCTTTCTTCTCGCTCGGAAACTGTGTATGCGGTTCCTCGCTTTACCGCGCTCTATTGCCACCGACTACATCTCGGAGCCAGACATCAAAACCGGGCGCATGCATCACTACCATTATTTAAAAGAGCCTTGGTACCTGCCCGCAACAATATGGAATCGCTGGGGTCCTTTGGCATGGCTCGTGTGGGCTACCGGTGGGATGATTCCCGGGGATGGGGGGCCGGCGATGAAGCCAGAGGGTTTCTTGTTTGAGGACCTAGGACCTAAAGGCAAGATGGGCAAGGGCATTGAAGCGACGGCACATTTGGCAGAGGTGGCACAGGGGAAGCTTTCAAAAGGATGCCCCTTTTCCCGGTCGGCAGCCTCTTGAGCAGGGTGGTTTTCCATATATGGAAAGGTGTGCAATCCATACTGGAGTATCGCCCCACATTTATTGCAAGTATTGCAATACACCTTTCCATTCTTGGTCCGTGCGCATCCCACAACAGCTCACCTATATGGTCTCGGCAAAACCAGTGATCGGAATGGTCCGGTATGAGTTGGTATTGGTATGGTAAATACCGCCAAGACCTGGTATGGTTTGACAAAAACTTGATACCATGGTATTACCGGTATACCGAATCATACCAGTAACGCTAAAAATAAGCTCAGGTAAGAGGCTCACTGCGGAGAATGACCAGGCAGAATCCGAGCGGCGATGATTCCAGTGTCATCTGTAGGGCTTATTGACCAGTTTTCTGCCAGTTTATCTACTCCATTCAATCATGAATACCATCATCCTCACAATATCGACCTGGCTACCTTGGTCAGGTCGATCCCGGCACCGAACGGATGCTTTTCGTCTTTGCTGCCGGGTAGCTATCCCAGGAAGGCCCGAAGGTAAGGCGAGTGTTAGTGCGTATTAGAAAGTACTTCTCATTGCACCCAGTTTTATGAGTTCTTCCATGTAGGACGGAGCATGACCTAACGTATCACTGGCCAGACTTGTCAATCGCGTCGTCGGAGGGACAGGAAAAGCTTAAATGATCCTTTCAGGGACAGGAAAGCTTAAATGATCCTTTCAATCGAATTACTTCCGTGATGTTGGAGCCCGAAAATTTTTACGTTAGGCTAGTTGGACGATGGACCAAGATCGAATGATCGAAAGCCACCATACCTTAATTGGTGTATGTCATGATCATGGAATCTCCAGCGCCAACCTCGCCATCTTCGTTTACGACAAGTTCAGCATCAATCCGCTCCAGATCTCCTGCATCGTGTCCCGCGCCACATTTTTCCGCTACGACGCCATCGTCTAATTCTGTCCGTTATCCTGAGCCTCCGGACGAATTCGTACAAGACCATGTCACGTACCTGCGTCGCGCGAAGACGACGAAGAAGGCAGCTCGTCTCGGCTCGTCGCATGTGTGGAAGTACGGTCTTCATTACATCCGAGACAGTGACAAGAAAGAGGTATACTACTGTCACGAATGTGCGATCGGAAAGTATAAGCAAGAGTTATTTGTGATCAATGGCACGTCGGGGTGAGAAATCATCTCGAACAGAGGCACCAGATTGATCCACAAAGCGGCGTGAGGAAACGCGGTGCGACACGGGCGTCTGTATTGGAGCAACAGAAAGCGCAGCTGCTAGTAGCAATTTTTCTGGAAAGATACCGTTGAGAGGTTCAAAGAGCTTTTGATTCGTTGGGTTGTGTACTGCCATATTGCTTTCTTCCAGTTGGAGAACCAGTACTTCCGAGAGCTACTCTTCTTTCTGAACCCTGCTCTACTTAATCACCTCCCAAAGGCTGCGAAAACAATTCGAGGTTGGGTTATGGATGCGTTCCTGTCGAAGAAGCAACAGCTGAAAGAGGACCTCCAGCGGTCGCGGAGTAGAATCTCCATCTCCTTCGACCTCTGGACCTCGCCAAACCCGTACGCAATCCTGGGTGTCGTCGCCATGTGGATTGACGCCACCGGCAAGCGACGAAGTACCGTCCTGGGCATGCGACGCGTTCATGGCGAGCACAGTGGCGAGAATCTTGGGTCGACCGTTCTCGAATTATTGACGGAATATGACATTGGCGGAGATCAGATTGGATACTTCATGCTGGACAATGCTTCATCCAATGATACCGCTGTTGAGTTTATACTCAAGGAGCTCTGCCCATGGATGAAGCCGCAACAGCGTCGCCATCGCCGACTGCGCTGCTTGGGTCACATTGTCAACCTCTGCTGCCAGGCGTTTCTCATGGGTCGAAATTGTGAGAAGCATTTGGCGAAGCTTGAAAGCACCACCAGCGCGGAGATTACGTGAAGGTAGAGGAGCTGTGGAAGAAGTTTGGATGTTTAGGCCGGCTCCATAACCTTGTGCGGTACATCCGGCTTACTCCTCAAAGGCGGGAGGAGTTTGCAGCAATTATTATCGGCGGCCATCTCTCCGAATTCGATGGGCTCGAGCTTATCCAGAACAACTCCACACGCTGGAATTCGTGGTTTCATTCGATCACACGAGCGTTAAATGTTCGAGAACGTTTGGAAATCTTCTCAGCTCGTCATAGTTTTCGACTTTGGACTGTCTTCTCCGCGAGATCAACGAGACGAAGGATCACTACCATGACATTCACGAGGAAGACGACGACGACAACTTCACGTGGAGGTATCTCCAGGTTGTGCAGATGCTGCGTGGTCAAAGTGCGAGGAGTATTACAGCAACCGACAACGGAATTGGCAACATCGATTTCCTGAAGATACTGATCTTCCGCCAGCGTATTACGCAGCTCAAGTACTCAATCCGTATCGAAAGTGGGCATGGTTCAGGCAAGAATGGGTTCTTCAGGGCGACGAAGGAAGACAGAAGTGGTATGAAAGCGCACAGCTGGCGGTGAAGCAGCTCTGGGAGACAGAGTATAAGGAAAGTACCCTGTTGAGGCGCTACCACCTCCAGTCAGGAAGGACAAGGATCCAGACCCAGCATTCGATCGGCAGAGGGAACATAAGCGCATTCGCATAGACGGCCCGGCTGCTGCCACCGATCTGTATGAGCAGTATATTTCGACCGACCGGCTGCATGACGAGGAGGCAGGTTGCGATGAGGCCATCGCCTATTGGCTATCCGTTATGACTCGCAAAGAGACCTCGCCCGCTTCGCTCTGGATCTATTTGCGGTTTCCCCAATGTCAGATGAGTGCGAACGGCTGTTTAGTAGCGCAAAGCTTGGTATAGTTGATCGTCGAGGTAGGCTTAAGGCAGATATCATAGAGGCTTGTGAGTGTCTACGTGCCTGGTATGGGAAGCCTCGGGCTGAGGATAGCGAAGATAGCGGGGATAGCGAGAATGAAAGCGAATAAGCGATCAAGTTGACAACTAGTAGCCAATACATTTCCTATTTTTGCAACCCGCCTCATTCTGAGCGGTCTTGGCGGTATTACTGGTATTACCGGTAAGCCATACCGGTAAGGATATCAGCAGGTGGTATGGTATGGTATAGAGGTCATACCATACCATACCGGACCATTCCGATCACTGCCTGCCAGCGCGCTCGGAAATCGTATAACCTGGGAAATGGTTCCATGGGAAGATGCTCCATTCGTCTTGCAAAGCATCCATGTTAACAAACGGCTTGCTGGACGAGCCTCTGTCTGAGGCATGCTGGGGCTTAATAGGAACGTCGTTATCCATTTGGCTGCAGGAAGAAAGAAGGTGCATTGTTTGGTGAAGGTTTCAGTGCGACGCGACACTCGGAAATTCGGCTCAAACGTGTCTAATCGCCCAAGTATTTGCACATCCTTTACATATGAAATTAATATGGGACCGAAGTACTACGACCTTGAGTAAGGTAAGGCTAGTGACCACGCGCGTCAGACGCGACTAGATCAGGTGTAGGTGCTACCCTAGATCACCTCTAGCTTCAACGGCTTCAACGCGTGGTCAACGTTCAAGGCGTCGGCGTGGATTGAAGCTCTCAATGTGCAAGTGAGATTGAATTGATTGAATTGAAACACGTGACTTCCACTTCAATATTATTGAAGAGGTGGAGGTGGAGGTGGAATTGATCGCCACCCTGCCCCTGTGCACAGCACGAATACCCACGACCCAACACTGATCAGTGGTTGAACGTCTGTTTAACCACAGAAAGTTAGGTATCGAAAAGCATCCCCGTTTCCTCGAAGAATTCCCTGCGAGACCTATTTCTATAGGTTGCACCATAGTCCCGAGAGAGGAAGTTTGCAAGTGGAAGAGAAAGACCCGATTCCTTGAAGAATTCCCTGCGAGACCTATTTCTATAGGTTGCACCATAGTCCCGAGAGAGGAAGTCTATGCTACACACACGACAAGAACCGACTAGACCAAGCCGGTAGGAAAGCCTTGACATCACAACAATCAACATGTCACAAGGACAAACAGAAGGCATAAGGGTTATACAGCCTCAAGAAGATGTACGCCTACGCCAACCTATTTCTGCTCAGGAATTTATGCGCGGAACCGACTTCGCGGCCGATTTTTCCGCTATAGACCCTCAGCTTCGATTGAAAGATATCTCAGTCGATAATATAACGGAGATACATGCAACCACGTACGCAGCTAAGGCCCTTAAAGCCTATACTCTTGAGAAGATGTGGGATGATGAAGTCTTCCATGCTTTCCAACAAGACTTTGAAGGATGGACGCTAGACATGTTCCTTATGGTTGAAATTTCATACCGGCGGGAGCTCCGCCGGGTTCTCCGCCGAAAGGGAGTATATACTGGGACGAACCACCAGCGAATCGAACGATCCAGGGTGGCAAACCACGCAATCAACGCAACCGAGTGACGGGATTGCGTGGATTGCCAGCTTACATCATCAAATCCTCGATTGCGTTGAGCAATCTGAATCTCAATTGCGTGGATTGCGTGGATTGCTGGCGTTGACGGTTGTCAATATGCTATTCGGAGATAACGACAAAGTCCTCTGGCCCGTCCTCCAGCCAAGACCGGATGGACTGTGCGGCGCTGATGGTCTTCACCTCAAGTCTCCTGCGCAGCCGGGTAACCATCAGTCCAGCAAATGAAAACGCCCTTTCGCACTCGGCAGACATGGGCGGGACGGATAGCATATCGAAAGCCATCCGCGCCAGCCGCGGATATGTCGCCTCTTTGAGTTTCCAGTACTGAAATGGATCATTGATCTCCCCGTCGTCTGCCCCGATATCGACGGTCCAACGATCCAACTCGTCGGCGATAGGGCGCGTCGGCAGCCGGTAATCACCATTCGTGATATGGCTCGATTGCACCCTGTGCCTCATTCGAAACTTTTGAAATCGTCCAGATCGTCGGGTGGCTGGAAATTCTCCACAGCAGTGGCTGGACCCTCCTCCTCGACGTTCAGCGACTTATAGTCACTTTCCCAGATGGCTCGGACGATCCGCCGGGCTTCCGTGACCCATTCGGGTCGATGAGCCCAAGCTTCTTCGAACCACTGTAACCGCAAGGCAGGATGCAGAGCGATGGCCGAGTAGTATATCGGACACTCGATGAGTTTCGCGTAGTACTTATCAATTTTTCCAACCCAATTCGACGTTGATTGCGAAGTGGCCAGAATCCGGCAGGTCTCTGGCCATCGTTTTGGCTTCTTCAAGCTTCTCCAGAAGATATTCGAACGCCTGGATGATATCCCATGCGGTTCCATAGGCTATGAGCTTCCCGTCTTTGCGGACACGGACTTGCGCGTCTCCTTCAAGTGCCTTGAGAGCATTGGCAAAATGTCTCAGGACATCTCGAAATTGCTGATCACCATCCAATCGTTCTCCGTCAGTAAATCCTCATCTCGTATACACGCAGGCCTGGCTCTACTTCTCGACCTGCCTCTGCTGTGCTCGAACCGTTCGATCGCGACAAGGTCGTCGAGAAATTCGCGAAGGAGAAGAGCCCGATCCATCATTTTGTAATGAGACAGCCAGCGCGTCATGTTATCGGTCACAACGTCGACCGGCCTTTTCGTACCATCCTTCTTCTCCTGCAGGCTCCGTAGTAGATAGGTCAGCCTGTCGGATCGATGAATCCAATGGACGAGATTGTGGAGTTTGCCGATCGGACCTTTTTTTCGCCAAAGGTTGTGCTGAGCCAGGTCGAGAATATTGGTACGATCTTCTGAATCGAAGACCTCGTCGTCTTTTCCAAAGAGCAGTGCTTTCGCTACAAGGTTGATAATATGTCCAAAGCAGCGGACCCTTCTTTGCCTCCCATCGAAACTGAATTGGTCACCCAGGGCCCTCATCGCGGTGTCGTTGTTCTCCGCGTTATCCAACGTGAAGTAGCCAATCTTATCCTGTATCTCGAACGAGGTGATGACTTCTGCCACCTGAGAAGCCATGTTCTCTCAGTATGGGACTGCCGCAACTCAGGCATTCCGAGAAGTATTTTTTGTGGGCGCTTTTCCTTGGACAGGTAGAACGCAGCAATCCCGTACACAGCGTGCCGATTGGGCGATCTCCAGCCGTCAAACGCAAGATGGATACGGCCGGGGCACTCTTTCAATTCCTTCACCACAACGCCCTTGTATTGGTGATACTCTTCGAAAAGCCTGGACCGAATGGTCGTGTGAGTCATGTGTGACTGGGTCAGGCCAATTGAAGGATTGAGATAGTCGAGCAGAGAACGGAATCGAGGGGCTTCGATGGCGCGAAAGGCAACATTTGACTCGGTGATCCAAGCAAGTAGGAGTGATTGGAACACATTCTTATCAAAGTGATTCTTGAGCGTGTTGATCAAGGCCTGCTCTTTGCCGTCGTTTGCGTCGAGCTCGAAGAACTGTGCGATAGAGCGCTTCTTTGTTGTCGTACCTTTCGGCAGACGTTTCCCAACGGCCCAGAAATGCGGTGCGCATCGTGCAGATGGCGCTCGATATTTGTCGTTCCCTTCGCTGCAAAGCTTGGGGGTCCTTGGGGCGATTTCTTGACCGAACAGGTCCCGCATACCCACAGCCTATTGTCCCCGTTGTCTTGATGCTCAATGTCAAACCCAAAGCGCCAAATCCACGACTTGAGCTTGCCGGCGCGTTGGGATTTGGTGTAGCCGCGAAAGTGCTGCCATGGAAATGTTTCCCATTCTCGACTGCCTTGGGGCCTGCAGAAGGCAAAGAATCGAGATAGTCGCCCATCTAAGAGAAGAGTGGGATAATATGAGAGGCGTTACAAACATCCCGATTGCGGCACGATGATTGAGTCACTTTCCCCCTTACTCATGAACGCGTGGACGCCAGGTTCAGACACGAGCGCGTCGCGTTCATAACAGCAAGGGACTCTTGTCAGAATGGATGATTGGTCCAATTGTCAATC